GTACGCACCATATCCAATAGGGTGCAACTATGATGTTCGGACACACCATCACATTATGGTGTTCCAGGCGGTATTAATTGCGAAACAATTTCCACAATGTCTTAATTGTGTGCCAAAACTCGTAACTCAGATATTCATCTCTATGATCATATCATAGACATTTTATCCTCTTGTCACAGTGATCTGCTACTTCACTCTGAAATTACTTGAACCATTCAATAATTCAGACTTGTGTTTCATCAAGTAAATATACTCAACATTTAATCGAATCATCTGTGAAGTAAGAACATAATGATATTCACTGCATGCCTCAGCACTCATTCGACCGCACACATCAAAATGTGTTACTTCCAACAAGTTGCTATCTTGTTCCATCTTGCTGAAAATGAGGCTTTTCAGTCATCTTGCCCATGTGGTATGATTTGCATATCTCAAGTGATTCAAAATCAAGTGAGTCCGAACGATCCATTTGCATGGAGTTTCTTCATGCATATACACCAATAGACATGGTTCGCATGTCTCAAACTTTTCAAAAACGAGTGAGTCCAAAGATCCATCAACATGGAGCTTCTTCATGCGTTTTATACCATTATGACTTACATGGCAGTGCCACAAGTAAGTGGTACTATCATTACTATCGTATATCTTTTGACATGAAAATGTGTATCACTACGATCAAAATTCAATAAACCATTCCTTTAGGTGCAAGAGCACTTATTCAGGTTTAATACTAATCTTGATGGTAGAGGGAGCGTGCGATGTTAGATCACATCAAACTTGGAAACACTTCCAACACGTATCGTCAGCTCACCTTTAGCTAGTCTCCGTTTTATTCCGTAGCTTTTATTTCGAGTTACTAACACTTAGCAACCGAACCGGTATCTAATACCCTGGTGCTACTAGGAGTACTAGTAAAGTACACATTAACATAATGTATATCCAATATACTTCTATCGACCTTGCCAGCCTTCTCATCTACCAAGTATCTAGGGTAATCTTGCTCCAGTGGTTGTTCCCCTTATTACAGAAGCACTTAGTCTCGGGTTTGGGTTCAACCTCGGGTTTCTTCATTGGTGCAGCAGCTGATTTGCTGTTTCATGAAGTATCCCTTCTTTCCCTTACCCTTCTTGAAACTAGTGGTTTCATCAACCATCAACAATTGATGCTCCTTCTTGATTTCTACTTTCGCGATGTCAAACAACGCGAATACCTCAAGGATCATCATCTCTATCCTTGATATGTTATAGTTCATCACGAAGCTCTAGCAGCTTGGTGGCAATGACTTTGGGGAAACATCACTATCTCATCTGGAAGATCAACTCCCACTCGATTCAAGTGATTGTTGTACTCAAACAATCTGAGCACAAGCTCAACGATTGAGCTTTTCTCCCTTAGTTTGCAGGCTAAGAAAATCGTCGGAGGTCTTATACCTCTTGACATGGGCACGAGCCTGAAATCCCAATTTCAGCCCTCGAAACATCTCATATGTTCCGCGACATTTCGAAAACGTCTTTGGTGCCTATACTCTAAACCATTTAACTGAACTATCACGTAGTTATCAAAACGTGTATGTTCGATGTTCGAAACATCCACAAACGATGTTTGGGGTTCAGCACACTAAGTAGTGCATTAAGGACATATGCGTTCTAGTGTCCGCATAATCGCTACTGTCAACTTTCAACTATATTTTCTCTAGGAACATAACTAAAACAGTAGAACTATAGCGTGAACTACGACATAATTTGCAAAAGGTCTTTTGACTATGTTCAGGATAATTAAGTTCATCTTATGAACTCCCACTCAGATAGACATCCCTCTGGTCATCTAAGTGATCACATGATCCGAGTCAACTAGCCCGTGTCCGATCATCACGTGAGACGGACTAGTTAACGTCGGTGAACATCTTCATGTTGATCGTATCTACTATACGACTCATGCTCGACCTTTCGGTCTCCGTGTTCCGAGGCCATGTCTGCACATGCTAGGCTCGTCAAGTTAACCCTAAGTGTTTTCGCTGTGTAAAACTGTCTTACACCCGTTGTATGTGAATGTAAGAATCCATCACACCCGATCATCACGTGGTGCTTAGAAGCGACGAACTGTAGCAACGGTGCACAGTTAGGGGAGAACACTTCTTGAAATTTTGTAAGGGATCATCTTATTTACTACCGTCGTCCTAAGCAAACAAGATGCATAAACATGATAAACATCACATGCAATCAAATAGTGACATGATATGGCCAATATCATTTTGCTCCTTTTGATCTTCATCTTCGGGGCTCCATGATCATCATCGTCACCGGCACGACACCATGATCTCCATCATCATGATCTCCATCATCGTGTCTTCATGAAGTTGTCACGCCAACGACTACTTCTACTTCTATGACTAACGCGTTTAGCAATAAAGTAAAGTAGTTTACATGGCGTTCTTCAATGACACGCAGGTCATACAATAAATAAAGACAACTCCTATGGCTCCTGCCGGTTGTCATACTCATCGACATGCAAGTCGTGAATCCTATTACAAGAACACGATCAATCTCATACATCACATATCATTCATCACATTCTTCTTGGCCATATCACATCACATAGCATACCCTGCAAAAACAAGTTAGACGTCCTCTAATTGTTGTTGCATGTTTTACGTGGCTGCTATGGGTTTCTAGCAAGAACGTTTCTTACCTACGCAAGACCACAACGTGATATGCCAATTGCTATTTACCCTTCATAAGGACCCTTTTCATCGAATCCGTTCCGACTAAAGTGGGAGAGACTGGCACCCGCTAGCCACCTTATGCACCAAGTGCATGTCAATCGGTGGAACCTGTCTCACGTAAGAGTACGTGTAAGGTCGGTCCGGGCCGCTTCATCCCACAATACCGTCGAAACAAGATTGGACTAGTAACGGTAAGCATATTGAACAACATCAACGCCCACAACTACTTTGTGTTCTACTCGTGCAAAAAATCTACGCAATAGACCTAGCTCATGATGCCACTGTTGGGGAACGTAGCAGAAATTCAAAAAATTTCCTACGTAACACCAAGATCTATCTATGGAGAGACCAGCAACGAGTAGAAAGAGAGTGCATCTACATACCCTTGTAGATCGCTAAGCAGAAGCGTTCAAGTGAACGGGATTGATGGAGTCGTACTCGTCGTGATTCAGATCACCGATGATCAAGTGCCGAACGGACGGCACCTCCGCGTTCAACACACGTACAGCCCGGTGACGTCTCCCACGCCTTGATCCAGTCCAAGATCCCATCTGGGGGGCGGCCAAGGGGGGGAGAGGGGAAACTTGCCCCCCCCCCAAGTTAGGTGGGTGCGCCCCCTTCATCAAACCCTAGGCGCCTTGGGCCCTTGTGGGGGGGGGGGCGCACCAGCCCACCTGGGGCTGGTCCCCTCCCACACTTGGCCCATTCTGCCCTCCAGGGATGGTGGCCCCACTTGGTGGACCCCCGGGACCCTCCCGGTGGTCCCGGTACGTTACCGATAAAACCCGAAACTTTTCCGGTGACCAAAACAGGACTTCCCATATATAAATCTTTACCTCCGGACCATTCCGGAACTCCTTGTGACGTCCGGGATCTCATCCGGGACTCCGAACAACATTCGGTAACCACATACAAGCTTCCTTTATAACCCTAGCGTCATCGAACCTTAAGTGTGTAGACCCTACGGGTTCGGGAGACATGCAGACATGACCGAGACGTTCTCCGGTCAATAACCAACAGCGGGATCTGGATACCCATGTTGGCTCCCACATGTTCCACGATGATCTCATCGGATGAACCACGATGTCAAGGACTCAATCGATCCTGTATACAATTCCCTTTGTCTAGCGGTATTTTACTTGCCCGAGATTCGATCGTCGGTATCCAATACCTTGTTCAATCTCGTTACCGGCAAGTCACTTTACTCGTTCCGTAACACATCATCCCGTGATCAACTCCTTGGTCACATTGCGCATATGATAATGTCCTACCGAGTGGGCCCAGAGATACCTCTCCGTTTACACGGAGTGACAAATCCCAGTCTCGATCCGCATAAAACAATAGATACTTTCGGAGATACCTGTAGTGCACCTTTATAGTCACCCAGTTACGTTGTGACGTTTGATACACCCAAAGCACTCCTACGGTATCCAGGAGTTACACGATCTCATGGTCAAAGGAAGAGATACTTGACATTGGCAAAGCTCTAGCAAATGAACTACACGATCTTTTGAGCTAGTCTTAGGATTGGGTCTTGTCCATCACATCATTCTCCTAATGATGTGATCCCGTTATCAACGACATCCAATGTCCATAGCCAGGAAACCATGACTATCTGTTGATCACAACGAGCTAGTCAACTAGAGGCTCACTAGGGACATATTGTGGTCTATGTATTCACACGTGTATTACGATTTCCGGATAATACATTTATAGCATGAATAAAAGACTATTATCATGAACAAAGAAATATAATAATAACACTTTTATTATTGCCTCTAGGGCATATTTCCAACAGTGCTATCGCCAGGGCACTTCCATATTTCGTTACAGAAACTTTGCGAAGGCAAAACCCAGCACTCCCAACCGCCAGGGGCTCTGGCGGTATGTTTAGACAGGCTATCGCCAGGTTCCCTGGCGGTAGGGTACTCATCCACGTCGGCTGGCCAAACATGAGTGTACGCGCGTATGTATGAGCGCTTGCGTCTGTACTGTGTTAAAAAAAAAAAGCAACGGTCCAACAACTCTGCACCTAAATCTTTTCGCTCTCTGTTGACCCGATTTGGAACATGTATTAACTTTTGTAAGACCTTGTATTTGTAAGTCGTGTGGCCTGTCTTTGCTTTATATTCACTTCGTTCCTAAATAGTGTAAGTTTTTTTAGAGATCCCACTATACAAAGCTGGGCGCACCTCATGCCTTTGATCTAAAAAGAAACTACGTATGTGAGAGAAAGAAACCAATAGAGATCGAGTTATGTCTATGTGACGAGCTAGGATTAATCCAAGCCTTCGATGGTGTTAAACAACCTGTAGTGATCCAGCAAGAGGCGGGTGACAGTGAGGAAGTCGCCGCCACTGCCGAGCTGCCTGCAGTGGGAGATTTCGGTGCTGTGGTGGGCTGCGTAGCACAGGAACTCCATCCACACCCCGAAGATGACCTGCAGCATGTTGGGCAACTTCCACTCATTCCGGAGCAGCTTACTGGCGAGACGTACGCCGCTGAGCGGAGTCCGGGGAGCCGCCGTGTCACCCTTGTCGTGGCCGTCGCCATGCTTCTTAAGCATCAACCGGCAGAACTCCTCGGTCGTCAGGTTCAGGTCCAGAAACACCTCATCTTTTGTCCAGACACGCTTTGTAAACCTCCACATTTTCTCGAAAACGGCGCTGCTGTCGGAGAGGAAGTTGCGCCGAACGCCGCCGGGCAGCAGGCCGGGGCGCACCAGGAGCAGGAACCCCATGTAGTTGGATAGCACCTTGATGGCCTCCGCTAGCTCATGGTCTTCTCGAGTGTGCTCCTTCCTGTTGTGGTTGTGGCAGCGGAGGTAAATGTCGCTCGCGATGTGCCAGAAGAAGATGCACTCGGCGAAATCCCTGCCTCCGACGCTCCAGCCCACATCCTCCATCATCCCGGCGTCGGCAAGCACGGAGCTGCCTCGGGCCTCCATCAAGTCCCATCTCTCAGAGAAGCGCATCTTCTGCGCTATGTGCACTATCACCAACTCCTTGAACTCGTCTGAAATCGGAATGGTCCTTGAGAAATGCAGTTTCTTCCACCAACCCCCGAGCCTCACCGCCTCCATGACTCTGCCTCTGAGCTCGGTCGGATCACGGCAGCAGTAGTCCAACACGTTGTGCTGCCCGACGGAGTGCAGCCACCTCCGCCTTTTGCTTCCGGCGTTGACAAGCCGGCGGAGGCGCATGATCACAACATTGGTCTCGTCGAACTCCCACGAGTCCAGGTAGGCGCAGGTCCACGTGGATCCCAGCGCCCTCAGCACCGACGTGATCTCCAGGGCGACGGCGCCGACCAACAGGAGGTAGGTGATGGCAACGTCGACTCTGCCGTAGGAGGCCTTGACGTCGAGGTGGAAGAGGAAGAAGGCGGCCACGGTGGCGACCGGCGCGACGGCGCGGACGGAGCAGCCCTGCCAGGTGTGGATCACGGGCGCCTTGGTGTAGAGCAGGTCGTACATGATGGAGAGCTCCGCCTCCACCAGGTCGTACATGTACATGCCGCGGTTGAACAGCCTGCTGCGCATGAGGCTGCCCACCGCGAAGTTGGCGTTCCTGAAGCGGGACCCCTGGTCGATGTTGAGGAAGGCGCTCTTGCAGAAGCCAAACATGTAGTGGGCGTCGAGCAGGAGCTCCTCCTCGGCGTCCACGGACACCCCCCTGCTGTACAGCCTGGCGTCGGTGCCCTGCAGGACGTGGTGGAGCGGGTCGAGGGTCTCGATGTTGGCGCGCTCCAGCGCCCACACCCGCTCGCCGTACTTGAGGAACCCGACGACGAAGATGAGTACGGTGGCCGCGACCAGCGTCGGGGTGCCAGGGATGTAGCGGTAGAGAGCGTAGCCGGTGCCCGACGCCTGCACCAGGAGGGTCAGCAGGTGGCGCCGCCACAGCTGGTTGTCCTCCAGGGAGTAGGCGGTGATGGTGTCCTGGCCGCCCAGGTGCAGCAGGAAGAAGGGCGCCCAGAAGGCCACCAGCCCGTCCTCGTGCGGCCGGTTGTCCAGGGATATGTGGCCGAGCGCGTACACCGCCACGTTGTCCGCCATCAGGTACGCCAGCCAGAGGAGGATCATCAGCGCGGCGGAGGACTTGCGCCGACGGACCCCGGCGAACACCAGGAGCACCAGCTGCAGCACGAAGCTGAGGACGACCAGTATCTGGATCCCCCACTCTTTCCACACCTCCACCACCAGTCCTCCGGCGCCCATTGCACCTCACCTCACTGAAACGAAACACGCGCGTAAAAGTGTCAGGCTACAGCAGTACAGCTAGGCTAGCTAGCCCATGCGGTGGCAAGTAAATTTCAAAAAATTTGTACAACAAAAATTTATCAGTTTAGCTGAACCTCGGTCGCTTGAATTTGAAATTTGGGTTAGTCGGTTCTTTTGGGAAAGAAGCAGCAGCTGTGTGGACCACCGGAGTCACCGACCACAGCGCTGGGGTGAGTGAAGCGAGGCCCGGGGATGCCAGCAAGGCCTCGGTCAGGAACGAGCTGCAGCCGCCGGAGGCGAGTCCGAAGGTTGACGGGTGCGCGTGCGAAGTTTGCCGAGAGGAAAATCTGGTGGTCGTCGAGTTAAAGGGATGGCTGGGGCGGTGCGAGGTGGGGGAGGGCGGTGGGCGAGGCTGGCGTGGGAGTATCGCCGGCCGCGGGTAGCAGAGGCAGGCGGCTGGGTTGGGCCGGTGGTACATTGGGGCATGGGGCGGTTTCGGGAAGAAGATGAACAGGATGGCAGAAGGTTGAAGAAGGTGATCTGACCATTCATTCTGCATCCGACGGCTCAAAACAAATCGATTGACCCAAGAAAAGTCAGTCGTCGTATTATATACTAAAAAAGATTGAAGTTAGCACAAAGGAAGATTTAATCCAAGAGCAAGTGACCTATCTATCTTGCGGTCATTCAAAAGCTTGCAAATGCTTTTTACTTTTAAAAAGAAAAAGAAACTTGCAAATGCTACCACCATGGACATGGAGCTGCCTTGGTCTTGATTACAAAGAAAAACAGAGTATTTCTCTCCCGAACTTTCAGAGGACAGGACAGAAACAAAGTGGGTGAGCAACTCAGGAATCATGGCAATGATCGTGCTACATGCCCGTATCAATCAACAACTACAAAATACAAATCAGAGCTTTCTTTATATACATCCAGATCCAAGCAAGAAACAACTACATAAGCAGGCCAAGTAGTTGTCATTAAATAGGTTTAGGCAACTGATTGACTTACACGTTGAAGGATATCCGGCGAGCCCATGTCCGCCCGACCAAGAAGAAGCAGAAAGATGGGAGACCGGAAGGCGAAGAGCAAGCGCGATCGAGCGTTTTCCCGTTGTAATAATAGGCTAAGCCACAATTTGGGGACTGAGATACAATCAGTAAGTAGGTCTGGACCTGGGTGCTTTGGGTTTGGGATAAGGCTAGCAGGCCGCCACCGGAGTCTGCCGCGAAGACTCACCAACCGTCTGGCATATGGGGTCTCCTCGCGCTGCAAAAGAACAACTCACCTGTTACGTCAAGAAAACTGCCCCGAAAAACCTTCGACTTCGACGGACTGGATTTTAGCTGTAGCATTAGAGCATTTATAGCCCGATTGTTAAAATATGAGCAATTTATCAAATGATTTTATTAATAAAAATATTAGATAAAGCATGACTAATATAACAGGGATAAAACTAGTCATGCGATCTAACAGAAAGAAGGTAATAACATCTGCATATATGAACCAGCCATGTCGTCGAGGAGGTTGTCGATGTCGGGGAAGAAGCCGTCGGCTCGGCTCATTCCCGCAACCCACCGCGCGGCGCGTGGTGGCGAGGCGGGCGGCAGAGGCGGAGCGCACGTGGATGTCCCTCTTGTTCTTATGCTCATACATGTGGGAAAAAAATCTCCCTTATAAAGAGGTACAACTTCCTCTAAACTAGCAATATGGGACTAAACTTTAGTTCCACCTCTTGCCTTGCACGAATGGACTGCGTGAGCCTCTAGGATTTATTAGGAATTTCTGAAACTGTTATTGGGTTGGCCCAAAATAGACAAAAATTCCAGCAATTCCCCACCAGATCCCAGAGGCACACAAAATTTGCCTTTGGTTCCAAAATATTGTTTTATATACCGGTACTGCAGCGGAGACTGTTAAGTTGAACTTCCACCTAGAACTCTATGCTACACTAGTAAGCAACTTGAACAGTGACTGGGCCTTGAACTGCAAGTTTTCTGCGAATTTAGCTTCACACAAAGCCTTGACCGATACGTGGCTACTGTGGGTCTTCTCCGCGGGTGGAGCTTATGCGTCATACTCTAAGACCTTTCATGAGTTTACTAGAGAGAACCCTACTCTCATAGATTGCGACGTTTAACAATCAGACTCATATAGGTGCGTTCTTCAAAAGATGTTCTGCAGGACAACATCTCTGCTTCAATGAGTCTCTTAGAACACATTAAGATATACATCAACCTGCCATGCAGATTTAGTAGAGTATTGCATCTTCATGGAGTGGTATATTAGACAGTAAGGGTACTCTCCTTCCAGTTGAACAACAGCTTGTCTTCCACATCTAATTAACAGGATCTTCGATCACAAAGAATAGGTTACCACTGTGAACAACTCATATTGTGTGCCTCATACCCATCTCCCTCGATGCATTATCTATCACATTACGTGATAGACCCTTAGTAAAAGGATCTGCCAGATTTTTAGACGTTTGGATATAATCCAATGCAATAACTCCGGAGTTTCTCATTTTTTTGACAGACTTTAACCTTCTCTGAACGTGTCTTGGTGACTTCATGTTATCCTTTGAGCTGCTCACTTTCGTGATCACAGTTTGATTGTCGCGGTTCATAAGGATACCCGGTACAGGTTTCTCAACAACCGACAAGTCATTCAAGAGCCGACGAAGCCAATCTGCTTCGACCGTAGCTGTATCTAGTGCTATGAGTTCTGCTTCCATTGTTGACCTCGTTAAGATGGTCTGCTTGCAAGACTTCCAAGAAACAGCGCCACCTCCATGAGTGAATACATATCCGCTCGTGGCCTTTATCTCATCAGCATCAGAGATCCAGTTTGAGTCACTATACCCTTCAAGCATCTTTGGGTGCCCAGTGTAGTGAATTCCATAATTCGCAGTGCCTTTCAAATATCGGAAAATTCTCTCTAGAGCTTTCCAATGCACATCTCCTGGTTTTGAGACAAACCGGCTCAGTTTGCTAACAGCAAAAGAAATGTCAGGTCTTATAGCACTGGTTAAATACATAAGCGAGCCAATATTATGAGAATATTTCAATTGGTCTCTAGCAATTCTTCGATTCTTTTGAAGCAACACACTAGAATCATATGATGTTGGAGAGGGCTTGCAGTCACTATAGCCAAAGCGACTCAAGATCTTTTCCATATAGTGAGATTGAAGCAATGTAATCCCACCATCATCGTCTCTCAACAACTTCATGTTCAGAATGACATCATCCACTCCTAAATCCTTCATCTCAAAGCAACGAGATAGGAAATCCTTGACCTCCTTAATAACCTTCAGATTTGTTCTGAAAATCATAATGTCATCAACATACAAGCAAAGGATAACTCTCTCGCCCCCACCATGGCGAGAGTACACACATTTATCAGCTTCGTTTACAACAAAGCCTGGGGCTGTTAAAGTTCTTTCAAACTTCTCATGCCACTGCTTGGGTGCTTGCTTAAGTCCATACAAAGACTTCAGCAACTTGCACACTTTCTCTTCCTGACCATCTATTACAAACCCATCTGGTTGTTCCATATAAATTTCCTCTTCTAACTCTCCATTTAGGAAAGCAGTCTTAACATCCATTTGATGAACGAGAAGACCATGTGAGGCAGCAAGTGAAAGTAGTACTCGAATAGTGGTCAGTCGAGCCACAGGTGAGTAAGTATCAAAGAAGTCTTCACCTTCCTTTTGGGTATAACCCTTAGCCACGAGTCAAGCCTTATACTTTTCAATAGTACCATTAGGTCTAAGCTTGTTCTTGAATACCCATTTGCATCCTATAGGTTTGCACCCATAAGGACGATCAGTTATCTCCCAAGTTTCATTCGCCAAGATGGAATCCATCTCGCTACGAACCGCTTCCTTCCAGTAGTCAGCATCTTCAGATGCATAGGCCTTTGAAATAGAACTGGGAGTGTCATCTATGAGATACACAAGAAAATCATCACCAAAGGACTTTACGGTCCTCTGTCTCTTGCTCCTTGTAGGAACTTCATTGTTCTCCTCCACATGATTTTCAAAGTGTTCCATCGAAATGGAAGGTTCAGTAATTGTAACTGGTTCCTGATTCGATGAACTAGGCATCTCCTGATTAGATGAGGTAGCCATATTCTTCAAGGGAAAGATATCTTCAAAGAAAGTCGAATCATTCGACTCCATGATCATACCGACATGCATGTCAGGTACCTCAGATTTTACAACCAAGAACCTATAACCAATGCTATGAAAAGCATATCCCAGGAAAACACAATCCACAGTTTTTGGTCCCAGCTTCCGCTTCTTTGAAATTGGCACATTGACTTTCACCAAACAACCCCAAGTTCGTAGATAAGAGCTTTAACCTTTTCTTCTCCCATTCCTCGAACGGAGTTATTTCCCTGTTCTTTGTGGGAACTCGGTTTAGGACATGACATGCAGTCAATATCGCCTCCCCCCACCATGCCTTGGAGAGACCCTATGTGTCTAATAACATGGTGTTAACCAAATCAGTTAGAGTACGGTTCTTTCTTTTGGCCACCTCATTTTACTGAGGTGAATAGGGAGGCATCATCTCATGGATTATACCATGTTCCGCACAAAAGGAATCAAATTCATTTGAAAAATTCTCTCCACCATGATCGGACCTAAGCCTCTTGATCTTTCGATCAAGTTGGTTTTCCGCTTCAGCTTTATAGATCTTGAAATGGTTCAAAGCCTCATCCTTAGATTTCAGAAGATACACATGACAGTATCTAGTGGAGTCATCAATTAACGTCATAAAATACTTCTTTCCACCTTTTGTCAAAACACCATTAATTTCACATAGATCTGAATGTATGAGCTCTAGTGATGCAAGATTTCTCGTTTCTGCTGTCGTGTGAGACTTACGAGGTTGCTTATCTTGCACACAAACCTGACACTTAGATCTCTTGACAGTGGTGAAACTAGGGATTAAGTTCAACTTCGCTAGTCGGGACATGCAACCAAAGTTAACATG